CCCAGAGGAAGGAGTCGCGGTTAGTTAGATCAGGTGATCTTGGTGGCCACGGTATTGGACCTCCGCGACCAATCCAATGTTTTCCATATCCAATATTTAAAAAGTTTTGAGAAATGTTCCGGAAGAAACGTGCAAATGCCCCGTCGCGTTGAAATATCATTTTTTGTCTAGTTTCTAAATTTACATCTTTCAGCAACTCTGGCAACTCTTCTAAAAATGTTTTGTAAATTTGTCCTGTCAGTATGCCTAATTACTTTACGGTTAAATATTCCGCCCTAAACATTTAACGACCATACATTTTGATTATTTACGCGCCTTAGCCATAGAGGATTTTCGGTTGCATATTATGTCGGTTTATTAACTCGTTACTCAAAGTAGCTTCATCACTAAATAGAATTGATGATACGAAAAGAGAGTTTTGATTTATTTCATCTATTGTTGTCGTACAGAAAGCTATACTCTGTTAGCAAAATCATCTCCATGAAATCCTTGGTGGTAGTTGTGAAGCCTTATAATTCAGTTTAGTGAGCTTTTACTCATATCTGTTGCTATATCGATCTGTCGTGTACTCACATGCGGTTCTTTTACAAACTCAATAAAACATTTAGTTCGTTGTTCTCTTCTCGAACTACATAAGACTTTTTTTGGCGTTTAGGTATGTCAACACTTCCATTATCTCCAATATCAGTTCATTATCGAAACATCGCCTGCTCGGAAGTTGGGCATTTGGGTTTCTTTCACGATATACTTGAGCAAGACGAGTATTTTGTTGACATTGTTCCAAAATAAAAACCATGGTCATAAATCCGTCTTTTGTGTAATTCATAATCAAGCATTAACCAATAAACATATAGACTATTAATAACAATATGACATTTAAAAATTCGTTTAATGAATTTTAATTTGAATTAATTATTGTAATGTAATTTAACACCTGTGAAATTACAAATAATTATGGCGGCATCACTTGAAAGCTGTCAAATACATATACATATTTCATGGTCTACTAATAGAAAAAAGAATAAAATCTGCCATTCTCTGCATGATTTTGATTAATTCCGCTCTATCTCAACAATTGCAACAGATAGGTATAGGGACATGTACTGAAGATTTGTAAAGAATTAAATTCTCTATCTGATAAGCTAAACAAATATGGGGTGTTATTAATTAAATTAGACGGATTAGTAACGTTTTCACGTTCGAAAATTGTTTAATTTTTGCAATAATTAATGTAAAAGTTTAAAATTCCCCACCCCCAACTAGGGATGCAAACGATACATCGATTTTTCGAAAACATCGATGTATCGTCCATAAGTATCGATGTTTTAATAGCGATGTTGAAGTCCATAAAACATCGATACATCGTTCATTATGAACGATATTTTATCTTCGATGTTTGTTAAAATAATCGACCATTATTTCCATGTTTGTATAAAAGAGCAATGAAATATTTTCCACTGTTAGCAACTTCAGTGTCTAACGAACGATTATTCACAGAAGTTTTCGCAAAAATTAATCAGGAAAGGAATCGCTTATTAGGCACCAGGTTGTCAAAGTTAAGGTTCTTGAATTCTATACTTAAAAATAAATTTAAATAACATTATCTATGTGTTTTATCATATTATAATAATGGTCCGCGTTATACATCACTTGACTAAGCGACATTTTAACCTTTTTAGAGATTTTCATGCTGTCTGGTAAGTAAAGGTGTAACATCTTAGAAAAAATACAGAATACCGAGAGACCTAAAATACTATTTGTTTTAAAGGATAAAGCTAAGCGCCAATCACGTTATACGATTTCAAGTCCGATTTGCATCATACGTCTAAGACCCGACTTAGATACACCAAGAAATTCAACAATAGAAAAAATAGATGAACCTACAATTTCGAGTCAGTGTCCTTTTCTAGATGTTAGTATAAAATTGAAAGTTTGTCTTTTATTTTATATAGAATTTAAGTCTAACAAGTTTCGGCTCTTAGCCACCTTCAGAGACTCTACAAATAGATTAACATCTCTCATCTTATCCATTTTACAAACGACAGCGGAAGATAGCGCTAGTTAGTATAAGATATCACTGTTGCACATTTTTATTGCACTAAAACTAGAACTAACACTAGACCGAATATTTCTAGTTATAGGACTAGTGTTAGTTCTAGTTTTACACTAGCACTATCACTAGAACTAACACAAGATCTAGAACTAGAATCATTCGGATTTAACCGTCTTGAGAGACGTGGGAATAAATCCGAATGTTTCTAGTTCACGGTCTAGTGTTAGTTCTAGTGGTAGTGGCAGGTAGCGCTAGTTAGCATAAGATATTACTATGTTGTATAATTTTATTGAACTAAAACTAGAACGAGAACTAGAAACATTCGGGTTTAGTCGTGAAAAAAACTTTCAGTTGTCAATATCAACTTTAATTTTATTATTACCTTTAAAGTGAGTCCAAACTTGACACATTTATCTCAAAAAACCAAAAAATTCGAACTTTAATTTTGACATAATTGTCAACTTCATAAAAAATCCTTTAAAATGAGTCCAAACTCGACATATTTAATTTTAATATTAATGGAAATGTAATCACTTCCGGTTTGAAACGTCCACGTCAATTTTGACATATTTGTCATCTTCATTAAAAAACCTTTAAAATGAGTCCAAAGATGACGCACTTATCTCAAAAAACAAAAAAATTAGAATAAAAAACATTAAGCCCTAAGTTAGCAACAATGAAGATAGCAATTTAATTTTTAAATATTAATACCAAACTTAATTTTTTATTTTTTTTTTTATACTTTTGTTTTTGTGACAAATATTAAGACATTTTATAAAAATTATGAATATGTCAAAATGACATTGACATTTCCAAGCGGAAGTTGCTTATATCTCGATTAATATTGGAATTAAATATAACATGTTTGGACTCATTTTAAAGGATTTTTCACGACGATTACAAATATGTCAAAATTGACATTCTTAACCGGAAGTTGACCAAAACTTCATTAATATTGAAGATAAATATGTCGTGTTTGCACTCATTTTAAAGGATTTTAATGAAGATTACAAATATGTCAAAAGTGAGGTTGACATTTTAAACCTGAAGTTAATTATCATGTAATAGAACTTTTATAACTGAAGTTAATCTAGAGTTAGTCACTTTTCCGCACTTTCTTTATATTTTTAACATGTTTTTTGGGTCATTTCACATTGATTAAAAAAAGTCGTCGATTTTTAAGCCACATGATGATTCTTGAATTTTTCCCAAGTTTCTTAATATTTCTTTCGTTAAAAAAGAGCGTTCTTAAATTTTAATCTGTAAACTTGTAACACTTCGTCCTTAGTTTCATTTTACAACTTTTTAAACATTAATTTTGTAAATTAGTAACTAATAATCTGATTTCGACATTGATATGTGATCTTTTTTAACAAAACAAAAAGAAATATTAAGAAACTTGTTTGTAAAATGGATAAGATGAGAGATGTTAATCTATTTGTAGTGTCTCTGAAAATGGCCAAGGGCCGAAACTGGTTAGACTTAAATTCTATATAAAATAAAAACCAGTTTAAAAGTACAAAATCAAACTCTAGATTATTTTCCTCAAAAATTTTTACACAAATCGTCATCATTTTGTCTCTAGTTTTAGTGATTAAATTTATGATAATAAAGTTATTATTATTATTATTTGTCGCTTAGTCAAGTGATGCAGAACGCGGTCCAAATATTATTGACTATTATGATAATTCTTATAATAAAAATTCAGCCACTGAACATTTTTTTTAAACATCGATGTATCGGTATAATACGTCGATGTTTTCGACATCGATGTTTTACTTTTGGAAAACATCGATGTTCTAATATCGATGTTTTTATGAGCGATTTTGCATCCCTACCCCCGACTCCAGAAGACGTTTTAAGCAAGAAGAAAGAAATCACAGACGTTCAAAATGTGACTTTTGTGAGGGGTTTTCTTCTTGCGCATAAGATTCGTAGCATTGTCTCTCTCCAGGAATTTTATTAATTTTTATACGCTCCAATCATACGCTCAAATCTGAGTGACGTACTTTCAAGTTCGCGTCCTGTAGTTTCAAACTTTATTTATTTTTTTTTTTTGAAAAACTATGCCTCAGAATCAAAAAATTAAAAATATAGTGTCAATCAATTTTAAAAAAATTTCGAATAAGCCAATAAAAAAAAATACTTAACGGCCTTATTGCTAAAAAAGTTTCTAATTAAAATAACTCAAAAACTAAAAGCACTAGGTATAAACATGTCTTATCAAACTCAACTTAGTTTTGTATGTAGCATCAGAATACACAATAAAAACTATATCATTCCATTTAAAATAACATATGTTTATTTCGGTATGGAACATTCTGTATGCATAAAAATATTTTCCGGTTATAGTGTGCTAAATTTCCTAAAATTTTTGTCTATGGAAGAACTGCGTATCTCGGCTGCTTAATGCCATTCATGTACCTTTGACAACCCAGTATACCAGTATTGCATATACCAGTTATTTTTAAAATCTTTTGTAATAAGAGTTTTGAAGTATGACAACGTATTAAATTAACAAAAAGTAGTTTTGATAACTACCAATAGATTATTTCCAAGTATCAATTTTAAGTTTTCAATTCCTATCTAAGTTAATCTATGTAAATAATGAAATGGTCACATCATTGACTATAGTCCATCAATGAGTATACGCAGCTACATATCATTGCCTCGCGAATTGATTATATTCTATTTGATAAGTTGCTACAAATTGAATATAACTTGCCAATATAGACATGTAGCATCATCACAAAAGTCAAGGCCATTTACTTGTACCAAACTTATTTGCAGAATAGAAAGAATACAAGTTGATATATATGTTTATATACTGTAGATATACAGTAATAAATCATTTGATACAAACAATGATCTTGACATTTGCGACAAAGTAATTCATTGTAATTATACGCCTCAAATACATAAAATAAAAGTAAATTGTTCATTTTACCATTTCATACATGACCACTCCAATTCCCCACCAGTCCACAGCTCTTCCATAATCGTTGTCTTCAATAACTTCAGGTGCTAAATACTCGGGGGTTCCGCAAAATGTCTTTGTCGTTCTTCCATACGTAATATCCTCTTTACAAAGTCCAAAATCGGCGATTTTAATGTGTCCGTCTTTATCCAAAAGGAGATTTTCTAATTTTAAATCCCTATAAATAATTCCTATTGAGTGTAAATAACCTAAAGCCGAAATAATTTCGGCGCCATAAAATCTTGTTCTATCTTCAGAAAAAATCCTTTCCCTCGATAAATGGAAAAACAGTTCGCCACCGTTAACATATTCCATAACAAAACATAACCTATCGTTTGTTTGAAACGAATATCTTAGAGAAGTTAGAAACGGATGATTTGTAGATCTCAAAACACGACTTTCCGTTTGAGTATGTGCCACTTCGTCTTTCTGTATGATAACTTCCTTTTTTAATATTTTTATCGCGTACAATCTACCGGTTGCTTTTTCTCTGCACAAAATCACTTTTCCAAATGTTCCTTTTCCTAACACCTTCAAAAACTCAAAACTTTCCAACGTTACTTTTCTTCGTCCCGTTGACTTTGAAATCGATGTTCCTTGAACCGAAAATTTCTCACTTAAATCGTTTTCAGGCACTTCATCCAACGTTGAAACCATATCGATATCATCACAACTTTGATTTGAATTTGATAAACGCTCCGAAACTGATTTTATAGCTGCCACCCATTCCTCTCTACATAAATACAAGAAAAATAGAATCATTAAAATGGTTTAAAAGTAATTAAATAATTTAAATTATATAAGATAATGTTTTAAAATAAATCTAAACAAGATTGGTTTATAATTAACGCCAGGTTACATAAACTGGGCCTCTTAGCACCTTAGACAGATGTTTATAAGAACCTCCTGTCTTCTATGTTTAATAATATAAATATAGTTTTTCAGTGGTGGTTTAAAGTAACAATTGTTTTTTGTTTTAGTCAATAAAATTACAGTGATTTGCAAATAAATATGAATAAATCTGCATCAACCAATGTTGTGTACGGCGAATCCAATAGAGTCCATGATTAATTCCTAACAATTCGAGAAAGGATCAATAACTACGCGAAGAATGCACCAGATGTGGAAATTATAAAATCTAAGGGACTCGTCCGAAGAAACCTCTCGGAGAAGATCGCCATAACATGCCAAATGACTCAGATGGATGAAAGTTCGAAACTAACCGAACTTTCGAGATTAGTAATCAGTCATGCGTTATCAATGTTGTCATTATCATACCAGCTGGTTCGCACCATTCAGTACAGCCGATTCAATCGAAGAAAAATTCTCTGCAGACAACAACGCATCTCCCAAAATCTGTAGAATATCGTTGCTACCAAGGGTAGCAAATATAATGTTTAAAGAAGACAATATTAGCAAGAAGAAAGAAA